CCCCCCCCCTCCTCCCCCCCCCCCCCCCCCCCCCCTCCCCCCAAACACTCTTCTCGCTCCAATTTATCTCTTCCTTAATGTGGCTAGACTGTATCAGCATGCTAATCATGTGTTTTGGATAACATATGAAGCTTCAAGTTTTTATATTCATTTACCTTGCATTTTAATGCAGAGGCATGTGGTGGACTTTTACATATCTGATTTCCAATCTGGATTGAGAGCATTGGTTAAAACAGGCTATGGTGCAAGGGTGACACCTTATGTCGATGATTCCATTGTTATTGATGTTAATCCGGCCAACAAAGACATGTCCCCCGAGTTTCTTCGATGGTTGGCAGAGAGAAAACTTTCTAGCGATGATCGCATAATGCAATTAAAAGAAGGGTAATGTACTTTATCTTCTAGAAAATAAAGTTGGGATACTTGAGGATATCCTTGTGAAACTGTCATTGATGTTTTTGTAGGTACATCAAAGAAGGTAGCACGGTTAGTGTAATGGGAGTTGTTCAAAGAAATGACAATGTGCTTATGATTGTCCCTCCGCCTGAGCCTTTGACTACAGGATGCCAATGGGCCAAATGTATATTTCCTGCTAGCCTTGAGGGTGTTGTTTTGAGATGTGAAGATACGTCAAAGATTGATGTCATTCCAGTGTAGTCATCCTCCTAGGTATTCTTCTTTAAAGAAATGTCCAAAAATGATGGTGGTGGTGGTTGTTGTTTGTATTTTGTAAGCATATACGTGTTGTTGGTAAGTGTGATGATTCTGCCATTGACATGGTGATTTCTTTTTCCCCCACACTCAACTCTAGTTTGTTGTATAGCTAATGAAAATTCTTATTCGTTTATTTTTCCTAAGGATTTTATACCTTTCTAATGGACGTGGTTTCATATAGTGAGAAGTTTTGTGTATTCCAAACAACGTTTGCTGTTTGAATGTGTCAATGGAATCTATCATACACGATTTGTTAATTAGGTGGTGCTAAACTGCTGATAAAAGATTGAATTAACCAATAACTGATTTGCTGACATCATACGAATTTAATCCCTTTTCTATCTTGCAATGCATTTGAAAGTGAATATTAAAAGTAAAGGAGTTCTATGAGGTGCATGGTTTGCTTTCTCTCAATTTTATCTTTTCTTTCAAATGAATTTATCAGGAAAAATCATCGAAGAATGTTGTACTTATGGGTTATCTTTCCCACGGTATTGGTAACTTTCATTATATGGTATTGACTAAATAATATGGCATTAGTTTCTTGCGTTATCATCAAATTAAAACAAAAATTATTTATTCATTTGAGCAGCTATAAGATATTTTAGCATGACCCAAATTCCAAAAGGAGATGGGTTTGGACCGCCATGTGTGTGGATTGGGTACGAGGGGATAGCAACACTTTCATGATATATAAGACTACCTAATGATTTATGATGATATGTACGTATGCTATTAATATAAAATAGAAGGGGGGAAATGGGGTAAGTGAAACGTGTAATGCATAGAAGACAGAGTAAGAAAGAAAAGGTACGTGTTGAGTAGGGGTAGCTTGTGGAGTGACGTGTACCCTGGCGAAGCGCAATACTCCCAAATAAATCTCATGTCACATGGTTTTGGAATGGTAATGAGATGGATAAAGTCGGCGTGTCCATGATGGTGTTGGTGTTGGTATTGATGTGCTTCTCTGTTACTAATGGAGATGAAGAAGAGGAGAGGAAGAAAGCATCTTTGTGGGAGTGGGAGAAACTCAGAACTGCTTACCCTGCCTATTCAGCACTTTTTTCTTCAAATATTGCTCGCACTTTTAAGGGCCTTCTCACTCATTTCTTTCGTCCAAATATAGAGTAAGTAAAACTAGCTTCAATTTAAGGCTAAAACAAGTAGTGTGTATATATATAATGTGAAATCATGTTATGTTATTTGAAAAAGCTTTAGAAGAGGCAATGAAGGACAAGGCGTGAGAGGAGGAGAGGTGGTGAAGGAAGCTGTGGCAAAAAGCATAGATACCGTCGGGGATGCCGCTAAAGCAGCAGCGGAAACAGTGCACAATGTGAAGGAGAGGACCTTGTCGCAGAACAAACAAACACAACGTCAAAACGAGCTCTGATTCTCTTCTCATCCTTAACCCGCAACCACACTAGCTGCTTCATTTCTTATACTTTCTATTGCTCATAATAAATATAAATATCTGTAACAAGCTCAAGCTGTATCAAGTTGTTTCAACGTTCAAACACTTGTTAATAACATAAGATGTGTCTGTTTTAGTCAAATTTTACTTTCCCATCACTCTTGATCTTCCTTTCACGTTGGATTCGCAAACTTTACGATATAAGTATTTATCGGCAGCAACGCCGAGGAATGATGACAAAATGATTCTATTATTACACATACTATTATTATACAGGGCATCTATTAGTGTCGATAATCATATAAAAATAAAAATAAAACATACAAATAAGATGGATGTTAGAATTGAATGAAAGTGAAAATAATATAAAACATCACAATAGTGGAGCAATTCAATTTATTAACATGGTAGTTAGATAAATAATAAAAACTAATTAATGAATTGTAAGTTAAAATATCGATAAATAAGGTATTATTGAAAAAATATATATTGTTAGTATACTTTTTTGCCAATTATTGATATTACTACGATAAGGTAACAAATAAATTGAGATAAAAAACATATTTTAACAGTAACTCAAAAAAGAAACAAAGAGCTTAAATCATAAGTTTATTATTAAAATTTATTAAGTACCTTAAAAAAAAAGGTGACTGGTGGTCAGACCTTACATGAGTCAAACTTTGTCCTGATATAAACTTATCATCTATCTACAAAATAAAAAAAAATAAAAGAAATACAAAAAAAATCAATGCTTAGTTACTTGGTTATAACTTATAAGCCTATGGTGCATTGTTGTATAGCCATTTTCAGATTTAACTAAAATTTATTAATAAAAAAAATAGAGAGAATAATAAACATTTTATGTTATAAACATAATAATTAACAGATAAAATTTTACAAACGAGGAAAAACTATTTAAATTGAGGCATTTAACCTTCTAATAAATTTAGATTGAATGCGAGGGTAATTTAATTACATGAACTTAGATTAGGAAGGGGTCAACGAGCGAAGTGGATGCCTATTTTCAATATCTTTCTCTTTTAAGTACGTACTTTATATTTATTTTCATTTTCAATACTTGTTTTGTATTTTATTTTTATTTTTGTTAAGTATTGAGTATATGTGTATCTATCCTATATTTATTTAAAAATTAATTAAATAATTTTATTGTAAAAGGTTTAGAAAATAAGAATTCTAATACAGAGTAATAATTATAAAATCATATTAATTAAATTTTATTCAGTATAAATTTAAAATAGATTAAAAATTACATAAGTTTTAAGTAAATTTTATAAATAAAAAAAAGTAAATTAAGTTTCTATAAACTTAAAGTGAGAATATGGAGATGAGACAGGTATAGGAAAAGTAACTATATATCCATTTTCATTTCAATAATTTATTAAATGGACTATTTTTCATAAAAGTTTGGACGAGTTTGAACATTATCTACGAGTACAAATTTATTTGTTATTCCTAACTTAGATCAACATAAGCTAAGTTCAATTATTATTGGCTAAAAATCTAATTTGGTCCTTTATAATATTTGTTTGTTTCAATTTAGTCCTATTTTAATTTTTGGTTTCAATTTAGTTCCTAATAATTTAAATTATTGCAATGTCGGACTTTCGTCCAAATTATTTAGACCGAGTTAATTGTTGGTCACGTGGATGCCACGTAGATGCATAGGTAGATGCCAAATTTTTTTATGCATCTGGAACCAGAATGACCCGTTCTGAAACCGGAACTATCCGTTCTGGTTGCACTCATGGTGTGTAAATTTTGCATCTGGAATGGCCCGTTTCAGTTGCAATATTTAACACCAACGAGTGCATCAGAACGAGACGTTCTTAAATCAGAACGGGTCGTTCTGGTTCCCAAAACGAGTCATTCTGGGTTCAGAACAGGTTGTTCCAGAACGCCAACCACTCCACACAATGCAACAATGTGGTTCAAAGATTGCAAAAAAACCATTTACACATACACAAATTTTTTTATCTAAAAAATAATATATTTAAAGAATAAAAATTATAATCTAATATATATATATATATATATATTTATTTAAATTATCATATGCACAACACCAAAAAAATATATCATATATATAAAATTAAATTTCGAAGAGTTATTTATTTATCTAATATTTTTCAAACTTTTGTACTTTCTATTTATTGTTTATGTTGATAAAAAAATTAAAATTGTAAAAATTTATATCACATATTAAAAACATCTTTATATGATAAATAAATTAAACTTAATTTTTATAAGATTTAACATATTTATTTATATGTTTTATTAGTGTTAAATTATTATTAAGTAGGTTTTTAAGATTGTTATGTAACCAAACATTTTAAAAAATGTCTATGATAGATAAATATATAATATTTATAACGTATTTTTAACAAAAATTAGGTTTAAATCTGTTAAATTATAATATATCATAATCTGACCTAGTTTATTTTCATCCTTAATCATAATTGTAGATATAAAAACTTGTAAAAAATAATTGTAATATATATATATAGTTTTAAAAATTATATGAAATTTTTAATATTACAAATATATGAACAAGTACTGTCTCCACGATCTAAAATTTCTGGATCCGTCACTGACTATAATCATCCACCGTTTGTGTTTGGCATTCTAGAATCAGAACGGTCCATTAAAAAAAATTTGCATCCACCTATGCATCCACGTGTCATCCACGTGACCAACAGTTAACTCCGTCTAAATAATTTGGACGGAAGTCCGACATTGCAATAATTTAAATTATTAGGGACCAAATTAAAACCAAAAATTAAAGTAAGACTAAATTGAAATAAACAAATATTATAAGGGACCAAATTAAGTTTTTAGCCATTATTATTTTAAATTTTTACAATTTGTAATTATTAGTCAATAATAAAATGTAATTTGATAGATGTTTAGCTCAATTCTCATATTTAAGAGTTTATAATGTGTAAATATGATATTCAAATGAATGAACACCTTTATATTATTATAGCATTCTTTGTTAATCAATTTTTTAAAAATTCTTCTTTCTTGATTCCTACCTTCAATAACTAAGGCATTTACATCTTATCGTAGGCATGACAATAGGGCCGGACGGGTCCGAGTTTCATAATACCCGTTCTCATCCCCGTTATTCAAACCCATCCACATCCTTGCCTCCGATACTTGATAAGTATGTAATTTTCATCTCATCTCCATCCCCGTCAGATATAGGGTATACGAGTACTCGTACTTATACTCGTAAAAAATTAATTAAATATTTTTTGCAAAAAAAACACAATATTTTTATCTTAACTTTAGAAACACTAATTCTTAAATATTAAAATTCTTTAAAATAATCAAATCGAAGACAAGTATTAAACCGAGAATGGGTAAGTATATATTTATCCTTGTTCCTGATTTAATATTTCGAGTTTTATCCGTATTCGTATCTGATCAAATCGAGTATTTCCCTTTAAAGTCAAAAAGAATTCGGATACTACCCATGAATACAAGTTTATTTGTCATTCCTACTCATCGATAACTTTATTGTTCTACTACCAATTCTAGCATTCTTTAAATATTATTTTCTCACTTTATCTTTGCCATTCTCTATATTATATAAGGTACAAATTAATATTTTTTAAAATTTATTTAATACAACTTATACTTAACATGAATTGGTATCTTTGATAATTAGCCACCTAAAACAAAAAATTTTGTAAATTTTGTCAAAATGTCTGTTAATTTGTAAGTTTTTGATTTTTATGAAGGTGTCTGTTAATTTTTAAAGATGTTTGTTGATTTTCTAATGTATCAATACTTGTTGATTTTTCAATATATGATTGATTGTGATCAAATTTGTTTACTTTCAAATTATAAAATGTAATTTTTAAAACTATGGTGTATAATTGTTAGACATAGTTTTAAAAAATATTTTATAAAATAGTATATATTCTATAATAAAGATAGGTATGTATTGATAAGTGTCAATTTTATCTAAAAAATTTAATTTTTTTTTTACATTTATTTAGCTAGGTTCAAAAGAAAAAATTATTTTTAATCCTAAAAATATTGTGAATATTAAAAGGATGTATAAATTGTTTAGTTGTGAAGAATTGATATTGTTGGACTAATGAACCTCATTTTCTTGCAGATTTGGTCAATTTACCTAATTTTTTAATGAACCAAAAAACATTATTTATTACATTTAATAATACTAATAATAATAAATGAACCAAATAATATTTTACAAAACAAATTATTATTTAATTATTAAATATGAATTAATACATCATTTATTGGATGTTAAGCAATGATTAGATTACAAATTTAATAACGAAGAAATAAATATTAAGGGTATGTTTGGAAAAAGAAAAATAGAGGAGAAGAGTAGGAAAGAGAAAAGTAGCAAGTGAAAGTTAAAAATGAGTGTTGTTTAATAAAAGAGAGTTAAAAGGAGAAGTGTGGAAATGTTGTGGGACCCACATCAAAAAATTTTCTCTGAAAAGTTAGTCAAAAAATAATAAATAACGAATATAATTTTTATTTATTATATTTAAAATAAAAAGGTGATTATGTTATATATATAATTAAGTAAAAATAATAATAATAAATAAATATAATAATAAAAACAATTTTCATTTATATTTTAAATTAAATTTATTATGAATATTATATTTATTTATTTTTAAACAAAATTATTGGTAAAAATAATCAATTTTCACTCTTTTTTCCTTTTATCAAACAATTTTTATTTTTACTTTATTTTCTTGTACTCCAGACTTTTTTTTTCTACTCTTTTCTTCTTTTGTTTAGTAAGTAAAAGTAGATTTTTAAAAAAGAAGTCTATTTAGACTAACGGTCCGCTTAGACAAATAACTTAATTAAAATTTTATTTAATAAATTCTTATATAATAATAATTAATATTTTAACCGTTTAAAGTTTAATAAGTTACTATATTTAAATATATATGTTGACAAACACTATTACTATTTTAAAGTATTTAGACGTATTATTATTTAAATACTTATAAAATGTGATTTAATTTTAAAAATTAAAATTAAATCTTGATTGGAAATAAAATAAATTTTTTAAAAATATTAAATATTTTTTAAAATGGAATTATATATAATAATAATAATAATAATAATAAATATAAAAAAAATATAATCCCCATTTATCTAATTTTAATTTATAAAAAAATTTAATAATAAAATATGAAAAATCAATTATATACATTCTTTCACCTTCTTGTTCAAGTCTTCAGATGGTGCCCATGCATTATGGCCAGTAGCCACAGTATCCTTAAAAAGAATCTCCATCTCAGGTAAACTTTAAACTTTGTGTCTTCAGGATATTCCTATAATTAAAAATTCAATTCCCTTAATATTTAAGAAATCAAATAAATAAAAAAAAATGGATATATAACTTAAAATTGAAATAAAATTACATTAATCTTGTGTTGTCACCACTCTTCAGTTGCTGCAATAGTCTGTGAAACATGATCCCATCCAACTCTTTCC